TATATATAATGAATCTCTATTATAGATCAGTGGTTCTATAGTATTTTGACGCTCTGCGCCGCTCACGTCCGGTGTAGACACGGTGTTAGGAATCGTGTTTTCCCTTATAAGGAAGGATTCACGCTTCGGGCACACCCCCTAACTCTTCGCCCACACCCCTCCCCCCGCTCGCCCCCGCCGATGTCACCGTCAATCGCAATGTTTCACTGTAGACATCGTCCGATGCCAATTTTGTAGACATCACCCAATCCTAGCTGGTATGTGCTTCATATACCAAGAACTAATCAGTTTGGTTTACTTGAAGTTGTAGTTCACCAAATAATATGAATTCTATTAGAAACAGTAGCTCAACAGTTGTCGAGCAAGAACAGACATCACTGATTCTCACGTCAAGCAAACAAGTTTGAGCTTTCATTGACCATATTTAATGTGCACTATGTGTGAGCTGGTCAATACCAATGTGAATAAAAGCCTAAATTAAATCTGTTGTCTATGTCTATGAGCTTTTTGAAGCCTCAAAGTTTTGGTATAATGAACTTTTAATGGAGGGACAGAATTGTGCATTAACACTAACCAGGAAGTAAACTAAATCTTCTCAAAAATCTATATTATCTATCTATATCTATATTTTATGTTTTCGGAGTTATGTGTGCAAAATAATCAACACTTGCTACTTTTTATTCAGATCACAGCATCTAAATAGACTATAGTGTTGTTATTTGAATAAATGTTACCCACTTCAGATGTTTGCCCCTAAATGACACATAAAAACACCACAAACCATGGTTTCAAATTTTAAAAGTCAATCAAGCTATCTCTTCCTATTAAAGTGGTTGATTCTCAGGCAGAAAAAGCTGAAAACTGGACCAGACTTGATGTCAATATTCAAAAGTCTAGACAATACAACCTGCCAAACAGAGAGGATCTAGAGTGCTGATTTACAGAATCGATTAGGCCTATAAGAGTGATGTTAGCTTCGAATGCTCTGTTGTATTCCAGACTAATGTGCATTTTCTCTGCTCGTACGGCAACCAGCATAACTACAAGCACTGCTGATTTACAAAATGGAAAAAGGAACTCACCATTTATAGTAGAAGGACAACCACTATTTCACATTCACATTAATAAACCAAAAGCACTTTGAAAAGACACAGAAGTTTGGACATCAGTCTGGCCTTATTCATTCAACTGTTCTTTCCCACAGAGACAAACTTTGCTCTGATGGTCTGGCTTTGAGAAGGTGGAAATAAGCAGTGACTGCCATCATAATACAGATACAGGGGCCCTTGTGAGGGCCCTATAGCTTGAAGCTATGCGGTTATGTTTTAGTATCTCCACTCTTACTCTATAAATGATTTCCCTCAAGGAAAGGTAGAGGTTTGGACTTTCACTCAGGTTAGTCAAAGGCCCTGGAGGTGGCTCAGTTAGCGAACAGACACACCCTCCTTCGAGAGCACTGACTGTCAGTGGCTGATTGCTAGTGACGGTGCACATGATATGCTTTGCTTTTAAGGCCCCGGGGCCCAAGAAATTCAATAAGCGTTGCCAGCTAACAAAAAAGTTGAGAGAAGAACAAAAAAACTGGTAAAAAGTTTCATTTGGAACGCTATGATTGCTGTATTAATATAATGTAAATGGTTAATGTAATGTCACAAAATGCGAACCGCTTCATTAGGTAGAATAAAGATGCAGTTAGAGCAGAAAACACCACCTGCTTTTGCAATCAGGACCGCCGTCACCACCACGGGAGCTTTCTAACTCTCAAATCTCTACACGGCCAGAAGATGTGAGTTACAGCTTTATGCTGAATCAGGAAAGTGTTTTTTACCTTCAACGCAGTGCTCCACCTCCTCCAAGTTGCGGAGAGTAATCCTCATCAGGCTCGAGTTGAGCATCAGTTCGTTCTTGTGGCTCGGCCACATGAACTCAGGGGCCAGGTTGACAAAGAAAATGCGCGTATCTCCGGTGGCCACCTGATTGTCGCAAATATGGGGGTCTCCGAAACCGCCGATCATCACCTTGTTTCCTCCGTCCAGCAGCACCTCTCCATTCACCATGGTCTTGCCTTTTAGGTAACGCCATACCCTGACCTTCAAACAGGGGAAAGACAACATGAGATTAAGAAAACACCATTTTCTGCAGATCAAGGTCACTTTCTTGCACATTCCAAAGCGGCCACCTACCGCCAGCTGCATAAGACTCTGCAATCTAACTCTGCACTACACTTACAATGCGTTTCTGATTCATATATGCCTCAGTGGTGGTCCAAAAGCATGAGACCACATTGAAAATATTTAAAACAAAAAGTTATGATGTGAAATGAATAGGAAAGATAAGATTCTAGACTATTCCTAGGTCACATATCAAATTTAAGCAAATACGTGACTCTTGTGAACTGGTCAGATGTCAAATTGCTATGTTTACGATATATTTGTTCATTTAAAAAATGCAAAAAAGAAGCATTTTTCACTAGTATCAGACTTTAGCGAATAAGCTTTGCAGTGTTATATGAAATGATGGTAGGAAGAGCTGCAATTTCAGATTGCTCTTCTTTTCACACTTTTTATGTCCTAGTGATTAGTTTCTGCAAGACTTTGATATAGTGACCACATTCAGATATTTCTAACAAAGTAAGCCCATGATTACATGATAATTGCAGATAATTGAACCCGAAGCACTAATAGAGCTTGAAAGGACATCAAGTCACTGCAAAGGCTGTTTAGGTTCCTTGTGTATGAAAGATCAAATTACAGGTGGATCAAAGTAGGACTGTGGACATTTTTCATCAACTGAGCAAAACCAATGTCCACACCTTACAAAAACCCATTAGGGCGAGATTTAAACAAGTCCCTTTTATTTACAATTATATGCATTTTATGTGGTTGCAGCTACTTGGTGTTCATGATATATTAGACTCAAAACCCACTGAGTTGCCCATTTAGACAGCATTATACATGTTACCATGATATGCTGCGAGTTTCAGACCAGGTCAACTCAAATATTAGGCTGGTAGCTTTCGTCTATATGTCTAACAGGTGATATACATTGCAACACAGCTGCACAGTAACCATTGAAGTATAAGCTTAGACGAAGTACATATTTACCTTTTTTACTTTCACTTTGATGCATTTGAAGAGTGTCTTGGTGCGCAAAGTCTTACCTTGCAGGAATAAGTGTTGTGCACCGGATCCATGTTCAAGATCTCCTCTACAGTCCCAGTTAAAACTATATACGCCTCTTCTTCTCGCTTTTCCAGCTCCTTTTCTGAACAACTTCCATGACAACGCTGACTCAAAATCACAAAAACAACAGCAAACGACCAAACGGGCCAATAAAACGCCTTTTTCCGAGAAAAGCCCATGGTCAAACCAAACGGATGAAAGAGAAAGTTAGGAACTCTCAAGGCAAACGCCGGACGAGTTATGCAGCAAGTTTGATGTAAATAATAATCCGACCGCGCGCTGCTCTCTGTCTTCTTCAAACTTCACTGCGATCTGCGCTCATATCTGCGCTGAGTGAACGCGCGAGCATCAGTCGGCAGACAGAGAAGAATAGAGAGAGGAACGAGGAATGCCTCTGCTCACCCCCCTCGTGCGCACACTCGCTGTCCTTTCAGAATGACGCTCCTTTCACAGGGCATTTGCATGCAATCTGAATTGCTGATAAGAGCGGCGGAGGGGGTGATTTCAAGCTCACTGGAGAGAAGCGGGTGTAAAACGCCACCCCTTGGAGAGATTGTGCCAATTCGGACAAATGAACCGGTCTAGAGGATTACAGATATAGTGAATTCTGAGGATAATATTATTATAATACTATTATCACGTTTTGTTCTACAACATACATAGTCACACTTCAAAGGTGAACTTTACAGACGCTTAAAAAAAGCCTGCTAACAAAATTATATTAAAACTACAACGGCACTCGGATTTATCATGCATGTAAACTCACATTATTGTGGTAGTTGTAGTCCATGTGAAGAAACCTATTAGCAACTTACATTTTTCAAAAAAAAAGGGGGTCACATTTTATTTTAAGGTCCAATTCTCGCTAAACAACGACTTTTGCCTCAATGAACTCCTAATTTGCTGCTTATTAACAGTTAATAAAGTAGTTGTTAAGTTTAGACATTGGGTAGGATTAGGGATGTAGAACATGGTCATGCAGAATATGTGCTTTATAAGTGTTAATAAACAGCCAAATGTTAATAATAGGCATGCTAATAAACAACTAGTTAATAGTGAAAGTTGGTCCCTATACTAAAGTGTTACCAAAAATGTTTTATTAATACCAATAATAATTTTAGATATATTGGAGTCAGAAATATTTTGATCTTTTATATAGTTTATATCTCGAAAATCTGAGAAAAAAATGAACATACTTCAAGAAGCAATTTCCAATCTTATATTCAGTTTATATACTACATATATATATATATATATATATATATATATATATATATACTACATATATTATACCATTTTTTCCCTCCAGATTTTGTTGTAAGAAAAATTGATATAAGCATTATGAGGTCAAATTTGGCCAGCAAGTGTTGTAATAAGAAGTATGCAATCACAAGCAGTCCCAGCCAATAATTACATATTAAGCTCATGATGTTCATTAAAATTACTTGGTACTTACTCATGCAATTACAGTACACTGCAAAATGCACTGTAAAGTACAGCATAACCAAATAAACAAAAGCATTTAACCTTAACACAAATAGTTGTACCAACTTTCTACTTAACATCTAGAGAGGCAGATGAGTAACGCTGTTACTAATACAAGAATCATTCTGACACACGCAACTGATAAAACCCTTACAGTTGCTCCCAGTTCTAAACTGACAGTGCATAAATTTCCACCCTTTCAAAAGCTGTAATTTTACTACCCGTCCATCTATTCCTGGAAAATGACAGGGTGTGGAATCTGTGGTTGCACTGATATATTTGTAGGAATACTCTCATTTTAATGGCACCATGCCCTGGCCCTTAATTCTTACACAACAATACCAATAGTTTTTAAAAGATTATTTAAAACACAGGTTTGTGTTATTGCCAATGCTTGACAAAGGTGTGAATTATTACTTCAGACAGCGGCTCAGTGAAGAATATTTCTATATACTGTAGGTAACTTAACATTTTAATACATTATTAATGTAATCAACTTTACTGGCTCTCCAAGCTGATGTATAACCACCTTTCTTCCATGTTCAAACAGTTGCATGGTCCTAAGATCAGATTACTTTTTCACTGGAGAAAGCAATATTATGAACAGGGGACTGGAAGCAATTTTTATTTTAGCTGGAAGCAATGGTTTGAAGTTAAAAATGTGTTAATGATGAATTTGTTTCTACCAAACACAGATGTTCACTTCACAAGATGTCAGTTGATGAAAATGGAGTCAGGCTATTTGTGAATTATTGTGATGTTTTTATCAGCTGTTTGGACTCTCATTCTGACGGCACCCATTCACTGCAGAGGATCCATTGGTGAGCAAGTGATGTAATGCTAAATTTCTCCAAACTGATGAAGAAACAAACTAATCTACATCTTGGATGACCTGAGGGTGAGTAACTTTTCAGAAAATTTTCATTTTTGAGTGAACTATTCTTTTAGGTGTCTATGAGTTTTTATACGATCAATAAAACAAATCTCATCTAAGACTGGAGTCCTATATACCCACCCACTCACTCTCTCGTTCACTTTCCTGTAACATAATGAAGTCAGCCCACATAAAGCCCATTACAGTCAAGCTCATTTGAGAAATATCATTCAAACTGAAATATCACCCCAGTGAAATCACTCCATCTACTTTGAAACAAGCGTAGGAGTTCAACATTTCTGGAAAACTATTGCTGCACTTCACAATGTGAAGAGAGTAATACTGCCTATGAATTGATGTGAAAGCAAAAGACTCGCACCGTAAGCCACAAACACCACTGTTGAAATTCAGGTAACATAAACCATCAGCATCTCTGTCTCAGCTTGAGAGCTTTTAACATCACAACAACAGCTCGCTCCTGCCCACAAATGTCACCACAAAAGGTTTCGAAAATAAAAAAAATAAAACAAGTATTAACAAGCTCACCCAGAGGAGACATTTTCTTCAGCACCATGCAAGTCAAAGCATAATCGGCTTGACGGATGCAATTATTGTTTTAAATTCAGTTTAGCTATATTCCCTTTAGTCATTTATTATTTGGATTTTGCTTCCTAAACTCTCTGGTGGCATTCCCACTTGTCGCTATGCTATGATGGGGGATCTTTACTTTATTCACAGAGTGATGACTGATTGTAATGTGGGTTAATGTGCAAAAAAAATTAAAACAATTCATGGCTTGTGATGCTGGAGATGCAGTAGATCTTGCTGAATCACATACTGCTGCAGTGTTTGACCTATGGGCTATTGGAAACGCATTTTCTTACCAAAGGCCTCTTCATTCAAACAGTTCTTACAAAACATACATGCATAAACAAAGTTACTCAGAAGAGCTTTCTGTTTTGCCGTTGTTTTTGCAATAGAAAGCATAATAATTCATGAGTCTGCATCGATTTACTAACACGACTGTGAAGGATTACAAAATTTGAAGCACTTTAGTGCTTATAGGAGAATGTAAATGGTTTAAAAAGCAACAGGGTAGATTAATGCATTGTCTATACATTTACAGAATTATATCTATCTTCTAAAATACTATATTTTTTCTGATTATTTTGGTATTTATTTAATGTAAAAAATAAAATGTGAAACTCTTCCATCTCATTTCTAACATTGCTACGGTTTGTTCCTTGTGTGTGTTGCACCTGCATTAATGTCTGTCAGATGTCTATTTATTTAATTTAGGGATTTTTAAAAGCTTTGTGGGTTTTATTTTAATGCCACTCTTTGCTTTCAACTCCTAAGTATTACAAACATTGTGTATTTTTGTGAAGACTAGTGTTAGCCATAAAGAGTTTTGGCCAAGCACATGATTGTTCCCATGTGTGGTCTCCAATTCTTCTCTCTGCACGCAACTACCTCGTACAGACAATAAAATCACATTGTTATTTTTCATTTGAATCCTTCAGTTCTCTCCAAACATCTCAGCAACACACAGTCTGTCAGCTGAAAGTGAAACATGATATTTTGACCATTCTGACAACAGGCTGCGAGCAACCCAGAATCTCTTTGACGTGCCACAGAAAAACAACCCCGCAGTGCCAACACCAAGATAATGCCAGTCAACAGCTCACAAAGAAGACGTGTGACATCTGTATCACAGCAATATGCCCGCCAATGGCACTATATGTCACTACTACACTGAATGAAAGCCATACAGTGGGTACGGAAAGTATTCAGACCCCCTTAAATTTTTCACTCTTTGTTATATTGCAGCCATTTGCTAAAATCATTTAAGTTAATTTTTTTTCCTCATTAATGTACACACAGCACCCCATATTGACAGAAAAACACAGAATTGTTGACATTTTTGCAAATTTATTAAAAAAGAAAAACTGAAATATCAAATGGTCCTAAGTATTCAGACCCTTTACTCAGTATTTAGTAGAAGCACCCTTTTGATCCAATACAGCCATGAGTCTTTTTGGGAAAGACGCAACAAGTTTTTCACACCTGGATTTGGCGATCCTCTGCCATTCCTCCTTGCAGATCCTCTCCAGTTCTGAATTTAAGGGGGTCTGAATACTTTCCGTACCCACTGTATGTAAACTTGCATGAATATTCACAAAGGACTGCTTTCAATAAAACTAAGTCCAGGTGGTCTGGACTGCATCAAAATGACCAAGAGAGATCAGACATGAGTTCACACACTCTTAAAAAATAAAGGTTCCAATAGGGTTTTTTTTTTTTTTTTTTGCTTCCCCGAAGGGAACGAGACGCTGCGTCGAAAACGCTAAGGGAACCCCTCCAACGTGACCACGCTCTGAATCAGATGTGTAATCAGTCCAATGGATGGGTGAGACGTCACGGGCGGGGTGACGTAGTGACCAGGAGCATAAAAGCACGTGCGGTGAAACCGGCATCAGCTTCTAGGAGTGAAGCAAGCGCCGGCAGGGATGCTGGAAGTATGGCCCTGAGACGCAGCATCTCGTTCCCTTCGGGGGAACCATGGTTACATGCGTAACCTGGAGACGTTCCCCTTCAGGAACTCGAGCTGCGTCGAAGCGCTAAGGGAACGAGAATGCCCACGCCGCCAGACTTGCAAATCCCTGCCTAGTGTGGAAGAGCACAACTAAGGTGAGAGAAAGGGAAGAGGGTGTCTTCCCACTGAATGGTCACCGAGAAGGGCGTGGTAGGCCGCAATGGCCACCACGAAGACCTCTAGGGTGGAGTGGGTCAACCCTGCGGATAAACAGGCCTGCAGGA